ATCAAGTTTAAAAAGTTATAAAAACAAAATACTCTTACACTACTGATTCCAAGTATTTTCGCTTTCAGTTCAACATATTTTTAAAATGACGCTCAAGTGTTTGATTAGGCTTATCATTGCTCAGTGGGTGGTAGACGCTTGTTACATTATAATTTGTCCCCATCATTTTATTTAGTTCATGGAAACTATTCATCTAAGGAGAAACGATAAAATAGCCCGTATTAAAATGACTTATAAAAAAATGCCTATAAAAGGTTTAAAATAAATAATGTACAAGTATTACATAACGCAATAAATAAAAGAATGTTTATTTAAGCAATTTAGAATTCATAACAGTTAAGCAAAAAGAATTTTGCATTAAAACATTTTGTTACAAACAAGGTTACCCTGCAAGGGCGGATCCAGCATTTTTTGGTCTTTGAGATAAATTCCATACATGGAGCAAACTCCAAATATTTATATATTTATACTTATGTCAAATAAGGATGCTTTGCATAAAAATTGCGATCGTTGGAGCCTCGGAACAAAAATGTTCCAAAATTTTAGCCGCCCCTGCTCCAAACGTGAGACCAACAAGTTGATAAAATTTTTTTTGTACTATTCTCAACTAGATTTATATTCACCGATAAATTTTAAGTTTCATAGTATAATCTATTAGGCGTTCAAAAATTATAACCCTATAAAGTTTGAACCCCCCTAAGTTTGAGGGGGCTAGTGGTATAAAGTTTTTAATAATTTTTTTCCAGACCATTTGCAACATATATTAGGATCTTCGCCCCGTTAATTAATTTTTGTAGAAAATAAAATTTAGAATGTAAAATCTTTTTTCTTATGAGAAAAAAAGTAATCTTTTTAATGTTTGTTAAACGCGCAGACCTAAGATGGTACAGCATAGAGTTGTCCTTGACCTTGGATAAAGGCCAAAAATTAAGGCCTTGGCCTTAAAAATTTTGGTCTTGGCCTTGAAACCTTTGGCCTTTATTGTTTTGGCCTTCAAAAAAAATACATATAATTTAAAAGTTAAAAGTTTTAATTCTTTATTTTTATGTATTTTTGTTTTCAGCTTTCATATATATTTACAAGCATATTTTCTTATTGACTTCGTTAAATTCTGCGCAGAACCTTGGTCTAATTTCACAACATGTGGTTTTATTGTCACAGCACTTGTTACCTACAGTTTTGTTAATAATTGGTCTTAACGTAAGGCAAAAGTTTAAGTCTTTGGTCTTAAAAATGTTTGGCCTTGAAACTCTTATTCTTGGCCTTAAAACATGTGGCCTTGGCTTTGGCCAAACTCTCGTACAACACTAAGTAAAAAAAAAAAACATAAAATAAACCTCCAAAATAAAATTGCTTTTAAATTAAGTTTACTCAAAGATAAAATAAAAAAAAAACAAATTTTTTTTAAGAAAATTAGGATTAAGACCACAATGGTGGAAAAAATGCGTTTTTATCCTAAATTTCAAAACATAACATTATAAGTTAGTCATCATCATATGACCTGAAATTTTGTACACTTAGTCTAAACACTATATTATTCCATTTAACAGATAGATTTTTGATATATATATATTTTTTAATTTGTTTTTTAGGTGCCTCGAGAAGTCCTAAAGGTCACAGAGCACCGCAGAAGTGCATTTAACCGGGAAGTTCACGCCTCCTTCCTTACCGTGACGCAAAATACGTCTAAAGTTCATTTCGAACCTGGATCTCCTGCTTACAAAGCAAGTGCTCTAACCACTGCGCCACGGCCACATATCCAATTAAACAATGATTTGTGTAGATATTCCTCATATTTATTTACTTTTTTATTTTTTAGAGAGGTCTGATTCCAAAAAAAAGACATTTACTGATCATCAACAAAAATCCATCTGTTAAATGAATTTTATAGCTATTTCAAGTAAGTACTGAATATTTCAGATCAAATAAACATTGATAATTCAAGAGACTGTGTTTTGAAGTTTAAGCAAAAACGAATAAAAACGAACTTAGATACACAGCTTTGAAAAATTCTTAATATATTATTTACAATATTAATTTAAAATCCTCCTAAAACATAACTGTCATTACATTCTTTTGCTTTCTCCTCATTTAGGCGACCTTTTTTCATGGCTCTAAGAGTTTTTCTTCTTTTTTTTCCCTTTTCTGATGACTTGGACCTCATTCGACTAATCCTTTTTTTTATTTTTAGAAGTCGCTGAAATGTTTGATACCACACCATATAAACCAAAATGTCTCGAAAAACTGATTACACTCTTTGCACCAGGTTCATATTGATCTATTTTAGCATATTATATGCTAAAACAGTTGATTAAGTTCCCATTTATAGTGTTTATTTGGAAACAAAAACTCTTTTTGGTACACGAGCCCAAATAAGTCTATTAAGCGCCTCGTTAACATTTTGTGTATTTCCATGTAAACATTTTAAAAATAGTTCATCTGATTGTAAATTTATAATGATTGGTAGAATAAAATCTTTTATCTATAGAAGTATTTGGGCTTGTAGTTTTTTTGATTTAGAGCCCAGTAATCACACCAACTATACTTTACACAAGGGCAAAACTCGTGATGTGTATAGGAATCAGGAAAATCAGTGAAGTGGAAAAGTATTGCATAAACCGCTTTTTTTATTGAATACAAATTTCCCAAATTAGACCTGAATGCAAGACCATAAAAGTTTTGCATTGAATTGATGCAGTCTTTAGTGACTTTATTGACTGATATTGGTTTTTTAGTACCTTTTTGGGGTTTGACAAGATTTCGCAGACATGTTTCTAACCGTTTTTAAACATGTCTAACGCATTCCTGTTTACAGGCATAATACCATACTCTTTGTAAGGATTGGCTACTTTTACATCATTAAAAGAAGATGTATCTCTATCTCCAAGATATTTTTTATATATCATCTTGTTTTTTTGTAAAGACCTGTTAAACATGGCCACAGCTTCTAAAGATTCCATACTAACCAATGAACCCTCGTGATTCGATTCACACTGGTGATCAACCAACCAACACTGATACTCTGGAGTTCCTCTTTTATATCTCCATATTTTACATCTATTGCAATCTTTGGTAAAGATCTCTACATCAATCAGTGCCGGATCAAGGGGGCTAGGGGAGGCTATAGCCCCGGGCCCCGCAAATTTAGGGGCCCCAACAAATTTTAGAGGATTTTTTTTTTTTTAGTCAAAAATAGCCCCGGGCCCCAAGAAGTCTTAATCCGCCACTGATATCAATACATTTATCACTACCAACAGCAGTTACAACACCATTCAACGAACTATGATCTCTCTTTTGCCATGAACCATCAATAGATATTCAAACTTCCTTTATTTCAAAAGAATTGTTTTTTAATTTGCTTTCAGAACCAGCTCTCAGCATACTTTCCTCAGCAGCAATTTTGTATACCAACATTAAGTTTTATTTATTTTATTAAAGCCATTAGGCTACAAACATTAAATATTTATACAGGAGGAAATATTTTTTATCGATCCATGACAAGCACCTATTTCTCGCAATCTGATGACAGCTACCTGATTGGTTGATCTCATATGGTGATTCTAGAAATGAAAATTCTTTTTTAACAACATCAATAGCACACTCATTTGTGTTAAAAGAACTCTTTGACTTTAGTGAAGTTCTAAAAATTTTAGAAAAGTTACACTTTGTACATGCGATCGCATGGGCTTTTGTTATTTACTTTATCAAAGATAACGTTGATTCTCGCGCGCAAATCAACGTTATCTTTGATAACCAAATTTTCAATAAAACAACTAGGGCAGACAGTGTGTGCAATTAATTACTTTAACAATAAAATGTTAATAAGTATAAAATAGCCGTCAGATTCACATTTATCCGAGCTGAACTAGCACAAGAAATCTCATCAGCAGGTTTTGATTTAAGAAATTCAGACGATTTGAACCCATTCCGTTTACTGCTCTTTCTTCTAGTACTATTCTGTTTTATTTTATTCTAGTACTATTCTGTTTATTTGGCATTGCTTTTATCTAATTTATATATATATATATATATATATATATATATATATATATATATATATATATATATATATATATATACACTACAAATCCAAAGAGTAAACAAACAATAACACCCCAAATCTAAAGTAAACTAATTTTTGAAAATTGTTAACTGTTATGAAACAAAAAATAAATAAAAAAAACGTCAAAACATGAGACTTTTATTAGACGTTATTTTGATGTAGTTTTATGTATTTATTTTGACGTAGTTTTATGTGTTTTATTGTTGTTGTTTATTAATAGCTATATTTATTTATTGGTTTTATTTTTTAAAGTTTAATCAAAAAGTGGACCGTACCATACATAAACCTGCATAATATATAATGTATCAAAGCCGAACTACGTTTTTTTTTGACCTAACGAATTATACATAATCAACCGAAGGATTGGATTCAGTCAGCATTTAGAAATAGAATACGCGACGAATGCACTTCTCAATTTTCAGACAAGAATATTATTCGCAAAAATATTTTTTTTGTTGATCAAGCTTGAACATTTTACATGTAAATTTTTAAACGCTTATGCTGATTTTATAGGTATAAACATACAAAAAACATCTTCATCCCCAGGCTTAAAAGTTGAGTGAAATATCCCACCCCAGGCTTAAATGTTGAGTTAAATATCAGTTCCTTAAACTATATCTTTAAATATTTTGAACAATTCAACTTAGTAGAAACAACAGTTAAGCGATAAAAATTTGTGAAAGTTCACACATTCCCAAAAAATTCACACCACTCTTTCCCAAAAAATTCACACCACTCTTTCCCAAAAAGTTCACACCATTCTTTCCCAAAAAACGAAGAAATTGTCAATAAAATCTGGATTCTGCCAATACATAATATTAAAATGGTTTTAAAAATGCAAATTTTTGCTTGAATTTCTCCACTTGGGGTCTTTAAAATTTATTTTTATTTTGCATAGAAGATTTGGATTTAACAAACTAAAAAAAGTGAACAAGCGTGATAATAAATATAACTAAAATTTAAATATGTTTTAAGTAATAACATACAAAAACTTCCAGTTATCCAGTTAAAATTAACCTCTATGTTCCAGTAATCTGTAATTAAATTTTCGTTTAAATGCTGTAACAGTGACGTCATATTTAAATCAAATAGTTTTGAATTTATAAACATTGGATTTTAAACAACTTGAGAAAAAGAAAGCCTAAAATTGTAATGTTATTTGTGTAAGATGCCATAACTTCACCGCTCCTAAAAACGGAGTAGACAATTTCAAAAAAAAAAAAAAAAAAAAAAAAATCAAATACCATGATTGGTTAATTAATAAGTTTCGTTTTCAAAAAGTGACTTTTCAGTTTTCTTTATATATAATCAACTCGTATTGCGTTACTCGATAACGTGTTAAAAGTATGAATTTAATCGACTATAAATATTAGATCTCCAGTTTAACCTTTTGTCTATTTCTAAACAGCTAAGTCTTTCACGCTTCATAAAAATTGTTCTTCGTTTCAAAAAATATCTAAATAAATATTCTTTTTCATCTTAAACAATAGCGTACTGATCGTAAAGTAATTGTCGAATAACATAGTATTCTTCACATAAACCACCTTCAATAGATATTTTCCCCTGTTCTCCCTATAAAAAAAAGAAAGCAATATCAATTATCGGAATAAACAAATAAGCCATTTTAGCTATGTTATAAACAAAGAAGTCATTTTAGTAAAGAAAGCAAAAAAAAGATTTTTACCCTTCTAACTGCAACCACATTGTTACATACTAAAACGCCTCCAGTAAACTCAGCCTGAAAACAATTTAGAGTTGGTAAGTAACTACATAAATTCAAAAATAATCAAAGCATTGACTAAAATGATCAAATTAAACTTTAATTTTTTGCTATAGTGAACTGATGCCAGATCTGGTTAAAATAAAGTTGGTTATTTGCGCACTTAACACGAAAAATAAATTATTTTTCCAAGCATTCAGTTACGTATAGATCTGGTATCAAATTTTAATTTGTTATGAAGAGAGAAATTTTAAAACTAAAACTACAAATAACCTGTCATACAATATGGAAAAACAATTTTTCAACTTAAATTTACATAAATTTATTAGATGTTTTGTAATAATTAAACTAATAAATGTATTGATTTCCATTGAAGAGTTGCATGATCTTTTTTACAATATTGTCTTCTAAAATGCAAAAAAAAATTTTTTGTCACTAATTTAAGCAAATTTTCAGTAGCAAACTGTGCCCAATGAGAATTTTTTTTTCACTAATTGCGTCGTACCTGGCTTGAATTTACTTCCAAATTCCATCATATCTGCCGCATCATTGAACAACTTTAAAAAACAATTAGATGCATATATTTTTCTGAACGTTTATTACAAGAAAAAAAGAACTGACATATATGTTATTATAATAACATTAGAAAACTAGTTAAACTATATTTTTGATGTTAAAATTGTAATATGGAGATATGTTATTGCGATTTTACGGTATGCATTATGGTTGAAAATTTTGTTTCAAAAATAGGAGTTTTAAAATCTTATTATTTGAGTATCCTTTAAATATTTCAATCAATAAATATAAAAATAATAAAAAACCGCAAGCAAAAAATACTCATTTTTAAGTCAAGTTTTTATAACCAAGTTTATCAATTTAATAATTAAGCATTTTTTTAAAAAACCAATAAAAGCTCAAGTTGTTATATATTACTTTTGTGGAACAACAAAAAGTAGGTGTTTTCCGCGTAGCCTGTCTTTTGAGCACAAAAGAAAAAGAATAAAATCTTTTTTAGATAAACAAATTTTATTGTGTATTATTTTTGTAGAGTGTTTTAAAGAAACAAAGATTTTTATGTGTTAAAAAAAAAAATTTAAATTTTCTTTTATAAAAGGTACAATGCACAAGTTGTGTTAGATTATAATAACTTATTAAAAAATGAATAAAGATAAACATTAGAAAACACATTTAATCTGAATATTCAGCAAAATAATATTAAAATAATTTAGTTAATATAATACTTATAAAATACACACACACAAATCGGAAGTATTGGTTTAAAAATAACCATTTAAAAGTATAGGAATATTTTTTAATTTATTGATTTATAACGTCAAAAGTGCTCTGGCAAGGTTGTGGCGAGTGAGACTCAAGTCTTAGAAGCAAGTCTCAGAGAGGCGAAATTTATAACCTCGAAATCATTAGTTCTTTACTATTATTGCTAATTATATTTTTGAATAGTTTAAATTTAGAATAAATGTTTCTTTTTATTTTTTTGCCTTCCATTAATCAATTCATTAAATTCAAAGTCATTAAATGAAGAAAAATTGTAAAATACTGTAAATAATTTTTGTAAAATAAGTCTGTTAACAGAAATTCAAAAGTATTTTGAACCCCTTCCCCTTTAAGGATGGAAGTGAAAAATGTTTAGCCTCAAACAAAGTTTACTACAGTACTGATAGTCAATATGCTATACAAATAACAAAACAAAACAATTTTAGAAAATTTTGTCATAGTTGCTACTTATAGTTACAATAAAAATACCAAAATACCAAAAAAAATGTTTTTGAAAGAGGGTTTTCTAAAATTTTTATAATCTGCTTCACAATATTTTACCATAAAATTATCCATAACTGCCTAAATAAGACATAAAATTTTACCCATTGATTATAAAATAACAGAAATTTTCAGGGAAAACTTCATCCCTAATTCCATCATTATAAAAAAAAAAAAAGAAAATTAGAATTTATTATGAGTTTTTGAAAAAATTTAAGGTTGTCCAAACCTATCATAACCATTATTTTACCGTGTAAAAAAAAAAAACTTCAACCAATTCTGGTGAAAAAACAAACTTTAACTAATCATAGTAAAAGAATAAACTTCAACCAATCATGGTAATAGAACAAACTTTAACCAATCACTATGATTAGCAATTAAAAAACACACTTCAAAACAAAAGCAACTTTACCTATAATAGCAGGGTAAATATTAAATTAGTGGTACTTAATGTACTTAAAGTGGTCATCTCAATGAACCACTTTAAGTACATTAAGTAGATAAGTTCTAATCTCAGTGAGTCACTTTAAGTACATTAAGTTGATAAGTTCTAATCTCAGAGAGTCACTTTAAGTACATTAAGTTCTAATCTCAGTTCTAATCTCAGTGACTTCAAATAAATAAACTTCTTATTTTTTATATAAACTTTTGTTATAAAAATATCATTTTATTAATAAACTTAGATATATAATTCTAACATATTGAGGCTAAAATATAATTGAATAACCTGATTTAATACTAAGAAAACGATTGTACACTTAAACCCATGAAAAAAACCTTCAAAAACAATTTAATGACTTAAATTAAAGGATCAATCAGATCAATTATCAGTTGAACCAATCAAATATCAGTTGAATCAGATCAATTATCAGTTGAATTAATGTGACAAGTGGAAACTAAATTGAAAATTGATAAATCAATTGACAAAGGATAATTGTATATTTAGAAAGATTTTGAACTTTAACGTAAATTTTCGAAGAAAATTCTAAAGATTTTTTTTTTAAAGCGTAGGTAATTAACAATTCAACTTTATTGCATTGTTTTTTTTTACAAAAATTATTTTTAAATAATCTTTTGGTAAATACTGCTTACTGTTTTTGTTTATAAAACGAAACTTGTATTTTTACAGAAAATATGTTGTATCTATTTTGGTGCAGTTTACATACAACCTTCAAAAGTTGTTTTATGGTATTATGGTAATATATTTAAAAAAAAAATCATCTACATTTTCATCAACAAATGTAATGTTGATGTAAGATTGTCAAATTGATTACCACAAAAAAACAAAGTACAAACTCAGGTAAAAATATACAATTTTGTTTTTAAAAACGTTCAACAAACACACTTATACAGTTTTTCATCAATAAAGACTCATCAAAAATAATGTGAGTCTTTTTTGATGAAGCACTGTATAAAATAAAAAAAATTGATAAGTGATTTTCTACTAATTTATTATTTCTCTATTTTTTAAAGAATGTTGAGCACTCTGTTTTGTAAAATACATTTAAAATTATTCATAATCAATATATATATATGTATATATATATATATATATATATATATATATATATATATATATATATATATATATATATATATATATATATATATATATATATATATATATATATATATATACACATATATACACATATATATAAATATATATATATATATATATATATATATATATATATATATATATATATATATATATATATATATAATATATATTTATATATATACATAAATGCATTACGTGATTAACAGATATTATACTGAGATAAAAGAGCTGCCGGGAGCTTCAGTACATACATCCACTGACTATCTAGGTAGAACATGCAAAAGGGGGCCACTTCATTGACTTTTTTATTTAACAACAGTTAAAATCTTTCTTGATAGATAAAATTTCATTTTAATTTATTTTCATATTTTAAGTATATATAATATTAATAATATTTATCTTATCAAATTATATTTTATTTAACATATATTTATTATAAAGTATAAGAAATAAGAAAACAACCTGAATTCCAGCTTTTGTTAAAACTTGCTTGAAGTCACTTAGACGAGGTTCGTCAATAAATACAGTAGCGTGCCCTGGAATCTATTTAAAATTAAAAGAACTGATTTATTTACATATATATACATATATATACTGCATATATATATATATATATATATACACAAATAGTATTGCGTACTAAAGTAAGCAATTTGACGTCATACAGAAATAGCCTGCTGCTGGGGGCTTCAGTACATGCATCGACTGACAAATAGCCTGAGTTGCAGTGGAGTGCTGCTACATTGACTGAGGGTTTGGGATGGGGCAGCACTTGTTTCATTCATCATTCTTCGTTTTTTTTCTCCTTTTTTTAAAAAAACTGTATAGATTAAGGCAAGCAAAAAAATTGAGCAAATGTTTATAAAAATACGTTTTAGTAGGCGTATATATATATATATATATATATATATATATATATATATATATATATATATATATATATATATATATATATATATATATATATATATATATACGGTCAGGTCAGGTTTTTATTTTTATTTATATTTATGGTCATCAGTTTTTATTTGGTATCAGTTTTTATTATTATGGTATCAATTATTATTATATCAGTATATATTATGGTATCAGTTTTTATATATATTTATGGTCAGGTCAGGTTTATCATGCTACTGATAACATGTAACCCAGTACAATCTGCTACATGTCCTGCTTCCTTGTAGGATATGCCTTTTTAGGCAAAGGGTAGGAAATGCAAACTCCGACATATAACACCCCTGCCTTGAGGCTCTTGATTGAGTAAAGGCTAGAGATGGTGTCTCAATAAAAATACTCATCTTGGGCAGATGTTAAATGCATCCGGCTGCTGCCTTGTAGAAGGCCTCCTAGGCAAAGACTTAACGGGTAAACAGATTCTATCTGTTGACCAGCCTCGCACCCTTTATCTATTAGGTTGGCGCAGATGTATTTTTAATACATTGTTTCTAGTTTAGGATGTTGAACGCTGGATCTTCTTTACTTGATGCATGGGTTTTGCTTGTATCTCTGTTTTTATGACTAGGCAACTCAGTCTATCTCTCATTAATCTCCAAATGAGGGTACAGCTCTAAAACTAAGTTTTATGGTTTTGAGGCCGGCTGGTAGTCAGGTTTCTCAAACTCTGTGGTAGCTCTCAGAGAGGCTGATTCTAGAGTACTAACAGTGCCATGTTGCGAATGGATAGTATCCCTGTTTGTACTTTTGGTGTGCATTGCAAAGGCCACATTTGGTTACCGCTTAGGATTTATTAGTGGAAATGAGGCAATTGCTTGGGCTATAAAACAGTGTACTGAGTACTATCTATGTTTCGAGTCAAGTTCTTTAACAAATTTAAAAATGAATAAAGTAACAAAAACTATAAAACACAAAAAACCACAGTCATCACCAAGTTGGCTAAACCTATCATTCACCAATATTTGTGGTCTTCGAAGTAACTTTTCTTCTACTGAGTCTTATCTCTTGCAAAGTTCACCAGACCTACTTGCTCGTGAGACTAATTTGAGTTCTTCTGTCTTATCTTGTGATCTTAGTGTTGATGGTTATCTTCCTTTAATTCGTAAAGACTCCAATAGTCACATGCTTGGCCTGGGCATTCGTAAGAATTCACCAATTTGTCGGGAAACTAGGTTTGAATCCACAGACTACTCTTTTATGCGCTTTCGTTTATCACCACTTCACTCTATCACCACTTCACTCTATCTCCTTAATCTCAAGACTGCACTCTTCTTGATGTTATTTCTAATTATATTGACCAAGCCCTCATTCTTTATCCATCAGCCAATATTGTTGTTGTCGGTGACTTTAATGTTCATCACACTGAATGGCTTGGCTCTAGTGTCAGTGACTCTGCAGGCATTAAGGCCCAAAACTTTTGCCTTTCTCAATCCCCAACTCAAATAGTCAACTTTCCAACTCACTTTTCAGACAAACTGAATCATTTACCTTCTCTACTCGACTTATGTCTTGTTTCTGATCCTAGTCAGTGCTCAGTTTCTCCACACTCTCCCTTAGGACCTTCTGATCATGGTTTGGTCTCTCTAAAACTATTATCTCATTCTTCTTTATCATCAGAATCCCCTATCATCGTACATCTTACAACTACTTTAAAGCTGACTGGGACTCTTTCCGTGATTTTCTTTGTGATGGCCCCTGGGTAGAAATCTTTCGTCTTCCTGTTGACAAATGTGCTTCTTACTTAACTTCATGGATTCAGGCTAGCATTGAATCCTTTATTCCCTATTGACGATTCCAGGTCAAACCTCACTCTTCTCCATGGTTTTCCTCACATTGTGCTGCTGCAATTGCCAATCAAAACTATTACTTCCATATCTATCAGCAAAACATTTCTCCAGAAAACAGACATCTGTTTATTACTGCTAGGAACCATTGTAAAAAGGTTTTATCTAACGCCAAAGCCCGCTATTCTCAGATCATGAAATCTTGTATTTCATCACAAAAATTAGGCTCTCGTGACTTCTGGAGAATCTTTATTCCACCTCTTTTGTATGGTTCAAACTTTGTCACCTCACCTAAAGACAAAGCTGAACTGTTTGCCAAGAACTTTTCATCAATATCATCTCTTGATTCCACTAGTTGCGTTCTACCTGATATAGCCATCAAAAAGGTTGATCCATTGCTTAACATCCCTATCACTTCAGCTTCTGTATCTAAAGTGATTTCCTGCTTAGACTCTTCTACAGCTCAAGACAACATACATGTTATAGTCTTGCAAAAGTGTTCTCTGGAGCTGTCGTCTATCCTTTCAAAACTATTTAACAAGTGCTTATCAGAGTCTTGTTTCCAGCCTGCTGGAAAGCAGCATCTGTTATTCCTATTTTTAAAAATTCTTAAGAGCGATCTGATTCCTCTAACTACCGTCCTATTAGTCTTCTTCCTATCATAAGCAAGGTTTTTGAATCTTTAATTAACAAACACTGAATCTCTCATCTCGAATCTCATAACCTACTTTCTGACCATCAATATGGATCTATGGCTAAATTGCTATCAGTAATAACCGATAGGTTTTATCGCGCATTAGATAAAGGTGGAGAGGTTAAGGCCATCGCTCTTGACATTTCTAAAGCATTTGATAAAGTTTGGCATGTTGGTCTTCTCCAAAAGCTTTCTTCTTACGGTGTATCTGGAAATATCTTTAAGATTATTGAATCCTTCCTTTCCAATCGTAGTATAAAAGTTGTTCTTGATGGATAGCACTCTTCTTCTAATTCTGTAACCTCAGGGGTTCCTCAAGGTTCAATCCTTGGCCCTATACTCTTTTTAATTTACATTAACGATCTTCCAGATATCCTCACATCTAAGGTGGCATTGTTCGCTGATGAAACTACCATTTATTCTTGTCACAATAAGAAGCCAACTCCCTCTGATTGTTTGCAGGGAGCATCTGAGCTTGAAAAGGATCTCATTTCTGCTACAGCATGGGATGGTGAACTTTAATTTGCAATAATTTAGACCTTCCTATATTTATGAACAGTAATGTACTCGATGAGTCTCCTATCTTCTAGAATTAACTCTTACTTCTGATCTTTCTTGGAAACCTTATATCAAATCCATTGCAAAATTAGCATCTGCTAAAGTTGCTTCTCTTTATCGAGCTCGACACTTTCTTACTCTGGATTCTATTCTCTATCTCTATAAATCTCAAATCCGGCCTTGTATGGAATACTGTTGCCATATCTGGAGTGGATCTTCTAATGATGCCTTTTCTCTTTTGGACAAGGTGCAAAAACGCATTGTAAACATAGTTGGACCTGCTCTTGCAGCCAACCTTCAACCTCTGTCACATCGTCGTAATGTTGCTTCTCTTTCTCTTGTCTACAAATACTATAATGGGCACTGCTCTAAAGAGCTAGCGTCTCTTGTGCTATCTACTAAAATTCATTCTCGTGTTACTTGTCATTTAATTAAGTCTCATCCTTTTTCTGTTACTATTCATAAGTGCTCCAAAAAATCTTATTCGTCAAGTTTTTTTCCTCGAACATCAGTTCTTTGGAATTCGCTTCCTTTATCTTGCTTTCCTGATTCATATAACTTGCAATCTTTTAAGTCATCTGTCAATTGTTATCTCGCTCTACAATCTTCATCTTCACTAATTAGTGGTTGCTTGCAGCCTTGTTGGAAGTGAAGGTGTTTAATATATATATATATATATATATATATATATATATATATATATATATATATATATATATATATATATATATATATATATATATGAAGAGTGTACTTTCAAAATGCGGTATATCCATTTTTGTGGTATTGAGATAATTGACTTTTTTCGCCACACCAACATGTCTTGTATATTTGGAAAAATTATTGTTTCTTAATGTATATATACATAAAGTATACTATATATTGTTAATAAATAAATTATGAATAAATAAAAAAATTTATTTTGTCAATAAGTTTGCATTTATTTTCAAAATACTGTATATCCAATTAAAGCTTGCAAAATGCGGTATATCCATTTTAAAAAAATGTTTTGGAAAGTTTATAAACTTTAAAAGACCTGAATAAGTTTTAATGATTAATTTTATTTAACATATTGAACAAATATGTGTATTTAGTGTTTGGCCATTATATTTTATTGATAATGTGAATGTAAACAATGTTCTATTAAAGTAATGTAAACTATTACATTTCACAATTCGCAATTGTAAATTTAAATTTGTTTCGGATTTAGTTAAATACGGACAATAAACATTAATATTTTTTTAGTGTCGTGTAGTTGTAACAATGATGATCACTATTTTTAAGTCTCCATAGAATTAATGGACAATTAATATAACATAAAAGTCATCGTTATATTTTTGAACATAATAAAATTTTAAAAATGAAAGACTGCAATAGCCTCATTTTATTTGCAACAAAGCGGTTTAACAAAAAATAAAAAGGAAGTATTATTATTGAATGCTTTCCATTAAAAAACAGGTAACAAATATATTTAAACTTATTAATTTAAGTTGCCTTTTTAATATATTTTCTATCATCATTCCATAATTAGTTCAGTTAAACAAACAAAGCAT